GTGGTAGCAGCATTGAGTGTAGGAAGAAAGACTGAGAACCAAAGTTCTCAATGGATGTGGGTACCTGACCAGAAGTAAATGGCAATAATCTTAAAAGGAGGGGATTTTGTAGGCATATGCAGTAGTACTGACCTCAAATAAAACAATTTGGAATTAAGGGGGAAACTCTGCCCTTCCTCATTCCCCCAGGCCTAAAAACTTGAGATGGGGAAGAATGAGCAGTGTCCACCAGAATTATCTGAGGAAGTGCTACCCTTGTTGGATAGTAAGATTTAGGTTTTTTTTTCTTCTCAATCCTAGCTGCTTAATGAAAATTCCTGAGGAACTTCAGAAATGAAAGGAGCTTGGGTCTATCCCAGACCGAATCTGAATCTCTAGGGGTGGAGCTTTTAACTCTCTCTCTTTTAAAAAGTTTCCTAGATGAGAGTTGTGCACAGTGAAATTTGAGAATCTAAGGCAGGAAGTAAAGAGGACATTTAATGAAGAGAGTGAAGATGCAGGGGAATTTGTAATGGATCAAGTTCTAGCACTGGAGGAAGTGTGGAAAATTGAGGTGGGACATATAGAAGAGGACATATGACTAGAGGGACCTTTCTTTCTTTCAAAGGTAGTAGAATGGAGAAAGGTGTTAAGATGAGAGATAGGAAAGATTAGCTGGCCCCTGGAGTTACAACCAGAACTCATGTACACTTAGAGGGTCCCAAGGCCAAAAGTTCTTTGCAGTTTGTTGTCTAATCAGCAATTTGTGGCCTTTGTTCTAGGTTCCAATAGATTATGGGTGATATGCTTAGAAAGTAGTACTCATTTGATCTTCTGCTCTCTGCAAAAACCAACCCAGAGTTGATCAGGCTGAGTCTTATCCCAAGATTCAAGTTAAGCTGAATTTTAATATAAATGACCAATGCTCACAGAGTTTTCTGGGGGAGATACAGACATTGTAGTGTTCCTTAAAAAAAGGTTCTCATCTAGGCTTCATTTAATCACTAAACATTTACTAAAGACTAGAGCTCAAATATATTGAGGTGTTTTATTTTGTTTTGTTTGATGCTACTAAGTAATAAATAGTGTAGCTTTTAAGAGCTTAGTTTCTGTAGCTGCAGTTGGAACTTAGTTCAAATCCTGACTCTGACACCTGCCAGCTATATAACCTGAGTATGTGGTTTAACCCCACTGAGTCTTGTTTTACTCATCTATAAAACAATAGTAATACAATAATAATACAGCCTACCTTATAATGTTGTGATTAAATGAAATTACCTTAGAAGCACTTTGCACGCAGTGCATGTCCCATAAATGATAATTATTAAGTGTGCAGACATAAGGCAGGTGCTAGAGAATGTGAGAATGCATAAGATACAATCTCTGCTGTGAAATACTTCAAATTTTAGCTAGAGATGTATGTAAAGAAGAAATAACAATCCAGTGTTGATAGGTGTCAAGCTCAGAGTATACACTGGGTAGTTCTATAGGAGCATGAAGAGAGGGCATTTAACTTTGTCTGCAGAGGGAAGACAGGAAGAGACTTACTAAAGGAGAGGAAGCCCAAGAGTGAGTCTTCAAGAATAAAAACTAATGGGAGTTATACACACAAAGCAGAGGGTGCACAGTAAAATGTAAAACTTTCCAGGCCTTGGCCTAGCATGTGTAAAAGCTTGGCAGTAAGAGAAAAGCCAGCAGGGGATGGACAAAAATAATGAAAGGGATTAAGAAGTACAAATTGCCAGTTATAAAAAGAGTCATGTAAAGTACAGCATAGGGAATATAGTCAATAATATTGTAATAACTATGTATGGTGCCAGATGGGTTCTACACTTGTATGGGTAGTCACTTCATAAGGTATATAAATATCTAATCACTAAGTTGTATACATGAAGCTAATATAATATTGTATGTCAACTGTAACTGAAAAATAAAATTTAAAAATAGTGAAAAGCCAGCAGTTTAAGGGAGCATGAAATGAGTATGGGACCATGGAGGCCATGGCAAGAATAGACAATGGATAAATAAGATGGGGGCAGATCATGCAGGCTCTTTGATAGCATGCTAATGAGCATGGACTTTTAACATATGGGTAATGGGGAGCCATTTAAAGATCTTAAAGGCAAGAATGTGGTCAGATTATTATATTTCAAGAGATTACTCTGGTCACAGTATAATGAATTGCAGGGGCAAAATTGGAGGCAGTAAAACCAAGTGAAAAATTCTGGTACCTTGGACTAAGATAATGGTTTGTGGGGATGAAATGAAGAAGATGGATTTTAGACGAGTTTGGGATATAGAATAGAGAGAACTTGGTGACTAAGGTAGAATAAAGTAGGAGTCAAAGAAGCTCCTCAACTTGTGATTTGGGCAGTTGGGCCAGTGCTGGATTACACAATAGTCAGAGTAAGCATTGTGCTTAAGGCCCCACAAATCAGGGTCACTCAAAATGTGGAAACATTAATTTCGGTTATAGCTCAGCCCAAGTGGAGTGTTTATATCCAGTGGAATGTTAAATGTGCAGCCAATACTAATGGAGAAGTAGGGAGAGCCTATTTGCTGGCAAGAGAGATCATGAATGCAAATTGATATAACAATTGGAGACATAGATTAAGATATGAGTTCTTAACCTGGAGTCTAGGGGAATTGAACCTCTGAAGTTATATGCAAAATTTTACAGATGTGTATAGTACATTTTTATGGGCAGAAGTTCTACAGGTTCAGATTTTTCAGAGTGGTACCATGAAGCAAATAAAACTTCTTCGTAGTTCCTCACTTGCCTAGGACTCTTCCAAGGCCCTACGAGGAGCCCTAGCAATTTTGTGTTCTTTTTACTTAAAGGAAGCTTTTCTTTCAAATTACATAAAGTGTCTAGTCCCACAAAATCTAGATCTACTCCCTGCCAACAACAGATTAGGGAATTACTCAACATGAATTAGTATCTTGAAGTGGATGCCATCTAAGATGAATGAGTGCAAAAATAGGATTGCAGAAGGTCAAAGAATGTGCTAGAAAAGGCAAAAGAAGGAGAAACAATGCCAATCAAATAAAAACTGGTCATGGTGGAAGCAGGAGAATCAGACCACATTGTCAAGGAAGTAGAAAGAGAGATGGTTAGCCATGTCCAAAATGAATGGGAGATCAGGAAAGAGGAAAAATAAGAAAATGACAACAAAACTCACTAGGATAACTTAAGTCAAGTGACAAAAACAGAAAGCTGATTGTTCAGTTTTGCATTTGTGAACAAGTGAAAATGGTGGTTGAATAGTGTGAATGGTAGCTACAGTCCACAAACATGCAGGAAGATAGAAATACCAACAGAAAGCTCTAAACTTCACTGTTCAGTTAAGCTACTATTCATCAATAAAGTAGGCTCACTGTAAAATGGAATCTATACTGAAGATAAGTTAGATGGCACATATATTTTTCTTCAAAATGAGTCCTAAATGTGTTCCATGGCCAGGCAAAGGTTTTGAGTGACCTTCATCCCCACCCCCCCACATCCAGCCTGTCCTAATCCAGTATCCTGATTCTCTTATTACTTGAATTTTGATATTTCTGCCCCATATCTCTATCTTTTGGCTGGAAATACAGAGCAGTGAGAAAGGGTAAGAAGAGAAAAGAAGCCAGAAGAATGACATTTGAACATAAATGCTTTTGAATTTAAAATTTTTTTCTGAGTAACTCACAAAACCAGTAATCCATATAAGGTTAATTGGATGTTATCTGAAATCCAAGCCAAGGAAACATCTATTTGAACCGAAATATTCTAAGTTGGCCACCTGGCAATTCTGAAGTTTATTGGTTTTAATTGAGCATATGTGATTCGTGCTGACTTGCCCATTATTAGGAGGGTGGGTATTATTATATTTTTAGTGTGAAATGCAGCCTTATCAGAGATATATGCTCAAATCTGATGACATGTCTATTATGGAAGCTACTAGATGCCATTTTACAGTCTTTTCATAGTAACTTCCTTCTGGGATCTATTTCAAGATGGACTGATTTCATTATTGTTCCCAACTTAATTTCTTCAGTGATTATATTTTTAAAGGCTTTTGACTTATGAATATTGATGTGCTAATTCATAATTCTGTCACTATAAAAAATCTGGTACTTGAGAACAATGATTTTGAATGGCTAATAGGACAGAATATAATGGGGACATTGAAAATAACTACAAACTAGAATGACTAAACCAAGAAACTGGTTTAAAGTTTCTAAAAACTAAATAAAATTAAATCAGTAAAAAAATTTAATTGGTATTTTCTTACCAGCAATGTGCTTGGCAGGAAATATTTAAAAACATTTTAATGATAAAGATTTGTAGTATTATTGATTTGCAATAGTATTCTTATTGAAAGAAGATCAAGAGCCTATTAAGACATGCTTCATAACGTAAACATGTAAATGATGGAAGTTCTAGCTACTTGATGATTAGCTAGGGTTAACATGAAAGCAATTCATAACACTTTTATAGATAGCATAAAGTAACCCTTAGCTTGACTTGTGTGTACTGAATTTTTTCTTTATTAAGTAATATTTGATTCAGCAAAGCCAGTTAAACACAATATACCTAGATACCTGTTGGTTACATCATTAGACTAGTAGAAGACATAAATCAATTTGACTGCAGGTTTTGTTTGAACTGGATTTTTAAATTTTATAAGTTATTTAGATATAACATTTTCCGTCAAACTCTCAGCAATCCACTTCTGTGAATAAAGTTATAATTTCCACAGTACAGTATTGTTAAAATTGTGTTGAAACCAATTGTCTTTCAACTTTGTAACTGTTTTTGATTAACCTAATTGTACAACTTCTGGATGCCAAAACTGCATTCCAAATAAATATATGTTAACATTTTGCCTTTAGCCAATAAGAAGAAAGAGAAAGAACGCCCAGAGATCTCTCTTCCTTCAGACTTTGAACATACGATTCATGTGGGGTTTGATGCAGTCACCGGGGAATTCACTGTAAGTAAGCTCCTTATTTTGTTTTGTAAGCCATGAAAAAAATTCTTTATGAAAATGCCATGTCCCAAAATGTCAAACTTGAAGTTTTGGATGATTTCAAGTAAGATGGACTTTGCCTAGACAATCACAGGTGGGACTAGAAGATGGTAAGAGTGTTGGCAAAATTATTTTGTCCATCTTAACAAAAATGGCTGATAGCTGTGTTATCTTCAACTTGATTGAAAATGTTAGTTTACCATGGCACAGGAGATGTAGACCTGGTAGAGACCCTGCTTGATTGAGCCTATTCTTTATTATTTGAAGTGAATCAGAGAATCGCTGACTTAACTTGGCCAGTGAAAACAATCCATCTGGATAATTCAGGCCTTACTTTGGAATCTGGATTACCCAGATTCACTAACTACACTAACCCAAAACTTCTGTATTGACCTGTTCTTCTCTTTGATTTCAAGAACATAACTATTTTTAGGCTTCACAGGTATATTTCGTAGACATTCAAAACAACAAATCCCATGTTTCAGGGAGAAATATAGATGGATAGATTTGTATGATTTAGTGGTTATGTACCTCCTCCATATATAATCCAGAAAAAAATGCCAATAAGAATTCTCTAGAAAGACCATAGCTATATATCCAGTCATTCTTTAAATATGTGTAGTGCTCAAGTAGCACAGAATCTCAGATCTATATTTTATACTTTTCTTTGTAAAGATCTGGCATCTTTTTTTTTAGATAGATGAAGGAAGATTGTGGCTAGAAATATGTCCCCAAGAAGATAAACTATCTTTTTTTTTCATACTAGTAAGGAACTCAGTCAAAAAGTGCATTCTGAGATAATTTTGAATGCATTCAGAAAAAAATCTTTAACAGAACTGTCACCATCGATTTTGGGGTTGTTAAACCAGAGATAAATGTTGATATTCAATAATTGAATTTTCTGTTTCAAAACATTGTGGTTAGTGAGTAGACTGTGTCATATGATTAAGTGAAATAAAAAAAGAAGGGATAACTTAATTGGATTTGCAGAAGCAAACCATGTCTCTGAATCGACAGCCAAATTATCTTATATATTTTTTTTTAATTCTGAAAGTAAGCAATATGAGAATGAAATGGAAACTTACATCTTAGCCTTGTAAATTGATGTGAGTGATTATTTCTATGTTCTCAGTAGCAAGGAAAATAAAACATTAATAAGTGCTGACATTGATAAATTTCAGTTACTGGTAGGATTTAACCAATTTCATCACTGGAGTCAGAGACATTATTCAAATGGCCTTGAGTTTGAGCCTAGTCTCTGTTCTTTACTATATTTGAGATATCTTCTAAGCTATACTTAGGGAATATAACCTTACTGTCACCACTACCGCTACCATCATCACTATCAAAAAATAATAATTTTTATAAACTGAACAAGTTTAAATTTCTTTAAAAATCATATTGACTATTTTTTGACATTTGTAACAGTAAAAGCACATAAACTTTATAAGTTCTGTCTAATATCTCTTCCCTTTTTTATTTTATGAACTTTATCCTTCTAGTTTTTTATTTTCTGTATGCTTTCCTTCTGTTTAAATTTCTCGTGTTTTATTGTTGTCATTCCATATTTTTCTTTTCTTTTTTCCTTCCTCTTTGTTTTTTGATGTGAAAGTTTTCTTCTCCACTATTCTCCTGTGACATTCTGGTTCCTTTCTTC